GATTTATGATCATATATTTTAGTCAATAATGAAATATTAAATGGTTATTTATTCTGACTACATCATATTGAATTTTTGTTTAAAAATAAATAAATTTTTTTTACACCAAAATAACTTATGGGGGCTCCAGGCCCCCTAAAATAGGCCTAGTGACGCCACTGTAGCTAACTTTTGCGGATCAAGTTTCTAGCTACTCTTTTGCTACTTTTGGCTATTAACAGACTTTTTCTACTCTTAGCGTGTTTTGCTACATTTTAACTATTATTTGAAACATTTTGGTTTTATTTATCTTCTTTCAGTTTACAGCTAGTGTTCTGCTTCTTTTAGCTTTAAACTCAGTTTCTGCTTCCTCAGAAAGTTTCAGCAGTCATTTAGCATTCATGCTATTTCCGCAGCTTTATTAAAACTTTTCTTTCCACTCTTCAGGTTGGGGCAGCCAGAGTTCAAAGGTTCACATCCATCACAGCACCTGGCTTCACTTCCCTGGACACAACCTTCGCTGGCTGCTCACCTTCGTCCTGCTCTTCATCCTCGTCTGTGAGATCGCAGAGGGCATCGTTTCAGATGGGTGAGTTTTAATTTCTAATCCAACTCTGCTTTCTACTTAGGATTTCTCTCCTGACATTTCTTATGTATTCTGGTCTTTTAACACTGCTTGATTATTTTACACAATAGTTTTTTTTTTTTTTTTTTTGCTTTTGGAGTGTACTTTGTATAACATTTTACTGTACGGAGGCAGTACTGACACTATAAGAGTATGGAAGACTGCCTGCTGTAGAAAAATATCACACATGCTTGGTTAAAATACATTTTCATGTCTTAACGTTTGCTCCGTTGGAGGAAATGAGATGTTTTGTCAGTATTTTATTTGTACGCCACATAATTGAATTTCATCTGCAATTCTTTTTTATTAGTTTGTGGCAGGAGTTCCTCAGAGTGATTTTATTATCTAATCAAACACTTTTATCCTCCCCTGATGGAAGTTTAATTTGATTAACTGCAACTGGCACTTCCTAAACTACTGTGCATCATCAGCATCAACTTTCTGATCAGATTTGCTCCACAGTGCTCTCCTGAGGAGACGCACCATCTACAGGTGAACATGGTTAGATTATTAGGTAGGGTCAGGGAGGAACCCTGTTTAAAACATTCATTAATTTACACTCAGTCTTATTGAGTACTCTCTAAAATTAGTTCAAACGTGAAAAATGCACCAAAGGTTTGAAGTGAAACTTAATTTTTTATTTGTAAATATTATATCTCTTTGTGTTTTTCTGCATCCTACTGTTGAGTTGTGTGTTTTTGTTATTTCCGTGTTTGTCGCAGACATGAAGAGACTGAGAAACTCAGCTGCTCAGAAGAGCTCTCCATGCCCGCCTCTTCAATGGGCTTTTTTACACTGACCTCTCCGCTGTCCTGAAGAGCCCGGCGTGGTTTTGTTTGTCGTCATGTGACTGGATGTGATGCTTTTTTAAACCTTTTAATTATCTCCAACAGCCTCGTTTTCCAGGCTCTGACTCCATTCCTCTGTATCCGTCACCTTGCTGCAAATTATTTTCTCTCTCTTTAATGCATTTCTTTCTCTATCTGCTGTTCGTTTTTCAGGTTTACCCAATCCCTCCATCTCCATCTCTACATGCCTGCAGCTCTGGCTTTCATGGCTGGCATCACTTCTATTATCTACTATCATAACATTGAGACCTCCAATTTCCCCAAACTGCTTTTAGGTACAGTATCCTGAAAATCTACTAATTTGTCTTCTCTGAACACAATCTAGTGTGGTAGATAAATATATATAT